CACATTGGTTGGAGAGGGTAATGAAACATTCCTTGTAAGGGTGTGGAAATCTCTCATTAGTAGACGCTATTTAAAATCGTGAGGGACAATATATAACAGATCAAAGCGAAAGATATATAACAGATTAAAGCGGACAATACTAGGGTGGGCTTGAGCTGTTACAAATTGTATCAAAGCTAAACACTAGGGATTGCGTCAGCGAGGATGCTAGGCTCCCAGGAGGGGTGGATTGTGAGATCCTACATCGGTTGGAAAAGGGTGTTATAAATGTGTGGAAACCGCTCCTTAATAGACTCCCTAATAGACACATTTAAAAACCATGAGATTAACGATGATACGTTACGGGCCAAAGTAGGTAGACAATATCGAAAGGGGTCTTGTTTATGTGGAAACCTCTTCTTAATAGACACATTTTAAGACCGTGAGGAACCATGAGGTTGACGGTGATACGTAACGGACCAAAGCAGGTAGACAATATCGAAAGGGGTTTTGTAAGGGTGTGGAAACCTCTTCTTAGTATACACATTTTAAGACTGTGAGGAACCATGAGATTGGCGGTGATACGTAACAGACCAAAAATGGGTCTTGTAAGGGTGTGGAAACCTCTTCTTAGTAGACACATTTTAAGACCGTGAGATTGATGATGATATGTAATGGGCAAAAGCAGGTGGACAATATCGGCTAGCTATATATATATATATATATTTTTTTTTTATTTGAAGAATGGAAAAGATATGTTTATTAATGAGACTTGTATATAAAATTTGGAATGGTATCACAAGATTTAAATGTATATAATTCACAAACACTACATATATTATGAAGACAATTTTCAACCGAACGACGACGTTTAGGATAATAAACTGGCGCCATATATTGTCAATCTCTTCTTCACTTGGGTTGCCGGCGGCAGGAATCATTCAGCCTCGTTTGGATTGCGTTCTGGAGCCGCCGCTGCTTTCACAACTTTCCCGATCACCCAATTCAATTTTCCGATAACATGCTTCTTCTGTCACCATTGCCTCTCTCTACTCGCTTTCCTGCAACTCAATTACCTTCTCCCACCGTCTTCCTCCACCACCAGAACCCCCCTATCACTACCCATCTCTCATTTCCCATCATCTCCGCCGCCGCCGCCACCACCGCCTCCTTCTCCTCCGTCGTCACCTGTTCCACTTCATCCGACGCGCTCGAGCTCGACGTTTTCGAAAACGACCACGTTTCTTTTCAGAGTCGCCGTTACGACTTCACTCCTCTCCTCGACTTCCTTTCCCGGTCTCCGGCCTATCCGAAGTCCGATTCCGATTCAGAGGTGGAATTCGACTCTGTTTTGGACTCTGATTCTGAGTCTGATAAGGCTTCTCCGACCTCCCTTGACCCTACCGAGTTCCAGCTTGCCGAGACCTACAGGGCCGTGCCGGCGCCTCTATGGCACTCTCTGCTTAAGTCTCTTTGCGCTTCTTCCTCTTCGATTGGGCTAGGTTACGCGGTTGTTTTGTGGCTTCAGAAGCATAATCTGTGCTTCTCTTACGAATTGCTTTACTCGATTCTCATTCATGCCCTTGGCCGCTCTGAGAAGCTCTATGAAGCTTTCATTCTCTCCCAGAGCCAAACCCTAACCCCCTTAACGTATAATGCTCTCATTGGTGCCTGTGCTCGCAATAACGATTCGGAGAAGGCCCTCAATCTGATATCAAGGATGCGACAGGATGGTTACCAATCTGATTTTGTCAACTATAGTTTGATAATTCAGTCGCTTACTCGCACCAATAAGATTGATGTTCCAATCTTGCAAAAGCTTTACGAAGAGATTGAGTCTGATAAAATTGAACTCGATGGGCAGCTCCTCAATGATATCATATTGGGCTTCGCTAAAGCTGGAGATCCTAACCGAGCTCTGTATTTCTTGTCCATGGTACAGGCGAGTGGTTTAAACCCCAAAACTTCTACGTTTGTTGCGATTATCTCTGCTTTGGGAAATTATGGGCGGACAGAGGAAGCTGAGGCTATCTTTGAGGAAATGAAGGAAGGTGGATTGAAACCAAGGATTAAGGCCTTCAATGCTCTTCTTAAAGGCTATGCTAAAAAGGGTTCTCTGAAAGAGGCAGAATCCATTGTTTCAGAGATGGAAAAGAGTGGATTATCACCGGATGAGCACACATATGGTCTTCTCGTTGATGCTTATGCAAATGTGGGGAGTTGGCAAAGTGCAAGACAATTGTTGAAACAAATGGAAGCTAGAAATGTACAGCCGAATACCTTCATTTTCAGTAGGATTTTAGCTAGTTATCGTGACCGGGGCGAATGGCAGAAAACGTTTGAAGTTTTGAGGGAAATGAAGAACTGCAATGTCAAACCTGATAGGCATTTTTACAATGTCATGATTGATACTTTCGGGAAGTTCAATTGTGTTGATCATGCCATGGAAACATATGAACGGATGCTCTCCGAGGGGATCGAACCAGACGTTGTTACTTGGAACACGCTTATAGATTGTCATCGTAAGCACGGATACCATGAAAGGGCTGCAGAGTTGTTTGAAGAAATGCAGGAGCGTGGTTATTTTCCTTGTCCCACAACATATAATATTATGATCAATTCATTAGGTGAGCAGGAAAAGTGGGACGAGGTGAAAATCTTGTTAGGAAAGATGCAGAGTCAGGGCTTACTTCCCAATGTGATAACATACACTACCCTTGTTGATATATATGGACAATCTGGAAGGTTTAATGACGCCATTGAGTGCTTGGAGGCCATGAAGTCTGCTGGGCTGAAACCATCCTCAACAATGTATAATGCTTTAATCAATGCCTTCGCTCAAAAAGTATGTCATCCTTCCCACTTTTCAACAGAAAACATTGTAGAAGACATTGAGTAGGCTTTCCCTCAAGCTTTTTAAAGCGCGTCTGCTAGGGAGAAGTTTCCACGCCCTTATATATCCGTCAGCGGTGGGCTTGGGCTTGGGCTTGGGCTTGGGCGGTTACATATATATTTCAATCTGTTTCTTGAAAATCCATTTTATGATCATCCATTTTTATCATTTGGCAGGGTTTGTCAGAGCAGGCAGTAAATGCATATAGAGTCATGAGATCAGATGGACTAAAACCCAGTCTCTTGGCTCTTAATTCATTGATCAATGCATTTGGCGAGGATAGGAGAGACATTGAAGCCTTTACAATCTTGCAATACATGAAGGAAAACGTAGGTGCAGTATATTATTTACAATAACGTTTGCATATTTTTTATTCTTAATATCAAGAGTAAAGCTTATCCATTCATCATTCGAACTTATTTGGTCCTACCTTCTACTGCAGGATGTGAAGCCTGACGTTGTCACATATACAACACTTATGAAAGCTTTGATTCGTGTTGAAAAGTTTGACAAGGTAGAAGAACATGACCCTACAGCTGTTTTTCATAATTTTCTCGTGTTATTTTATGCATAAATTTTGTGTATTTGGCAAATGTGATAAGAACCACGACCCTCCACAATAGTACGATATTGTCCACTTTGAGCATTAGCTAGCTCTCATGGCTTTGCTTTTAGTATTTCTAAAAGGCCTCGTACCAATGGAGATGTATTCCTTACTTATAAACTCATGATCAACCCCTTAATTAGCCGACGTGAGACTCCTCTCCCAACCATCCTCAAAAATATGACCTCATATTGTTCATCACATTGGAGCCTACTCAATGTCTTCTACAATGTTTTCCGTTGTTTCTGAGGGAGATATTGTGAAGATTAAATGTTAAAAAGTGAAGCTGGACTAGTTTTGCAAATTGGATGCAAAACTTTTGATGTCTTAGCTTGTGCTAGACGTCCTGGTTGCAGCATTTCTTATTTCTTATACGAACACATCATCAAATAGAAACTTGTGACGAATTGCTTTCTACAGCTCCCTGTGCTTGTTTCGTCATGTCACCCCGCAACCTCAAATTTCATGTTTTCAATTCTCAGTTTTGAAATAGAGAAAAAGAGAGAATGTTAAAGATTGAAAGTACATTATTTGAGTTTCAGGTTCCGGCTGTGTATGAAGAGATGATTTTGTCTGGATGTACTCCTGATGGAAAGGCCAGAGCCATGTTGCGGTCTGCCCTCAAATACATGAAGCGTACACTAAGCTTATAATTGGCCGCCTGATCATGTATCCATGCACTCTGTAGAACAAATTTGCAGGAGTTTATCAAACCAATACTCATAGGTACGTACCAAAGGCTTCAAGATGTGATGTTCTTGACAGTTTCATAATGAATTGGTATCAAAGTCCACAATTTCTTGGGAATTCATGTATTAATGTATGAATTAATGTTTTGCGTCTGCCCTGGAATGGTTTTGCAGGAATTGCCTATTCAAGCTTGAGTCATTTCTTATGACTTGGAGAAGAGAAAGGTTTGATCTTACACTAATAGTATGGCATTATACTATCAGCAAAAAGTTGACATTTCTAAAGTAGAACTGCCAATCACCCCTCCTTCAGCCCCCTTAAATGATACAGCTCCACCGCACCCGGCCACCAGGTGCCGGTCTTAGAAACACCAGGCAAATTCCCATCTATTGATAATTCTTGTATTATTGTTTATATAACATATTCACCATTCTTATGTCATACAGTAAAATGCAGAAGCAATAGTTGATCCAAGGACCTCAATACGTGAGTTCTTTTCTTTCTTTGAATGATCTGCTTAATCAGTCTGTTTTTGTATCGTTTAACGATAGAGGTCGATAGGTTGCAATATTGAGTAAAATGCAGAAGAAATCATTGATCCAAGGACCTCAATATGTGAGTTATTTTCTTTCTTTGAATGATCTGCTAATTCAGTCTGTTTTTGTATCGCTTAACGATGGAGGTCGATAGGTTGCAATATTGAGTAAAATGCAGAAGAAATCATTGATCCAAGGACCTCAATATGTGAGTTCTTTTCCGTTCTTTTGTTTCTTTGAATGATCTGTTAAATCAGTCTGTTTTTGTATCGTTTAAAGATAGAAACTTCTACATAGGTCGATAGAACTCAATCATGTGTACTTGTTTAGAGTAAGTGTGGCAATAAACATATGGAGTCCAGAAACTACACACATCTTTCTGAATGTATCTCTCAAAGGGAAATAGCAGAAACAAGTGGTCTAAACTTCTTCTTAGAAAGTCTGGAACAAAACATGAACATCAATAAAACTGACGACAACAAAAATAGCCTAAAATAAGTTCTCATTTCTTGCATCCCTAGCTCAAACACCTCCCTCTTCTTCCCATATCTGCTACTCCTCTCAATCAAGTAACCTTCAAGATAGTCATCAATCGACACCAGCTTGTCTAAGTTGTCCCTTAAACGTAGCTCGGTCTTGTCAACGTACTCTGGACCAAGCTTAAAAATTGTAAAAAATGCAGCAGACCAGTCGCCGAGAACCCTCTAAAAACAAAGAAGAAAATTGCATTCAGCTAAGGATTCCCATGGACATTTAGTGATCAAGATAGATGGCAGGAGATGTCACATACATTGAAAGTAGTGGGATCTGTGGGATTGAACATTCTAAAGCAGTCTTTTGGTGAGGCAGCTTCGTAGCCATATATCTGATATAAGAGTATGATGAAGAGAGAGGCTTATTTTAAGGCCAAAACCAAGATTAGTTCATGCAAGTTTAGATAGCAGTTCAGACTTGACAGACCTCAAAAGTGAAAGCCATGGGAATTCTTGCTTTGTCAAACATGAAATCTGTGGCTGTCCCATGTGCCAGATACCTTAAGAAACAACAATTATGCTGGAAGTATTTCAGACCCAAAGAGCAATAACTAAGGGATTCTCAATTAAAAGAACAAAAACTTCAAACCAATTAGCCTTCAAGACTAAGCCTAGAGGCATCTAAAAGTTTGGATTCCTTGCAAAATAATAGATAGTTGTCTATTTAGTGTTTAAATTTTAGTAAAAATACCCATTACCGGGCGAAGTTGTATCAATTAAAGCTTAGAACTTTTCTTCCCATTTTGTTAGAATCTTTGAAGAAGAATAAATTTAAGGTGATTTTGAGTTTATTTCAAATGAAATCAAAGTATAAATTGCTATAATCTGCTTGTTTGCTTAGATACATGCCACATTATTTATCTAGTTAGACACCTTTTTTTTTATTTATTATTATTTACTTCAAATCAATAAGTATTTATCAACTAATTATGCCATGTTATATTTGATATTAACCCATCTAAGTTAAATAAGGATAAAAATAAAAAATAAAAAATAAAAAAATTAGAATAATAATTAAAAATTCATAAATAGAACATTTTAATGTACCATTAAAATACATTTAAAACGTATACAAAATGGTAATTCAAAAAACCGATGACTCGAAGAATTTGATCAATTATTCCAGGAGTGTTAATTTTAAAAAAAGAAATACTTTTTTTATAGAATAAATAGATATATATTTAATTTCATAATTATTTTATTTATTATTTATTCTCTAAAAGCACTTAAAAATAAATTCTTAAATTGTCATTTAAATCTTAATAATGTTTTAAAATAAATAGGTAGATATTTTATATACTAAAAATAAAAAGTAGGAATAAATGATCTAAACAACCTGAACTAATTCATCCAAAATATTTTATGGTTGGGTTGGACTAGGTTTATCATTTGAGAGGTGTTGTTTGGATTGGATTCAAGCAATTAATTAAGTTCGAAAAATTGTCCAAACTCGATTCAATTCATGAACATTCCTACCTACTAAACGATAAAGAAAGAGTTAATGAAGAAGTAAACTAACCCGACCGAACCTCCGCCGGATCCAATCATGCACCGCTGGTGGCAATGGAGAGTGTTCAGTTCTTCAAGCAAAAGTTTCATTTGTTGAGCAATTTGGCTATCAGGGGTTGTGTTTTTATGGTCATAAGGCATGAACAGAGCCTATTGAAGTGAGAATCAAAAGCAGCAAGTTGTATGAAATGTGCATGGAAAAATCTCAGCAATGGCTTCAAACGTTCAGCAGATAAACAACAACACAGAAAGAGAGCTGATGAGATTGTTTAATCAGCTGGTTTTACATGATCAAAATTGAATGCCACACACAATTTGAGTTCCATTTTCATTCAATTAGTATTGTTTCTTTACCTCCATGCCTGAATGCACATTGACCCATATATGTGGATCAAATGTTAAGGCAAGTTTTCGCATCATTTGAGTTTCTGGTTCGCTGAAAGGTGCAAATCCAGGATTTTCTTCGTAAGGATTATAATCCTGCAACAGGGAGAAGGAGAGCTAAACTGTTGGAATTGAAGAGAGTAATAAAAAACCTTACCAAACGGCTCAAATGGTCTAACAGCTCAAGTCCATCGCTAGTCGATATTGTCCACTTTGGGTTATGACGTTTTGCCGTCAGCCTCACGGTTTTAAAACGCATCTACTAGAGAAAGGTTATCACACCCTTATAAGAAATGTTTTATTCCCCTCTCCAACTGATGTGGGATCTCACAATCCACCTCCCTTGGGAGTCCAGCGTTCTCGCCGGCACACCGCCCAGTGTCTGGCTCTGATACCATTTGTAATAGCCCAAGCCCACCACTAGCATATATAGTCTACTTTGGCCTATTACGTATCGTCGTCAGCCTCACGGGTTTAAAACGTGTCTACTATGGAGAGGGTCTAGTTCTACTCCAACTAGTGTCTCGCATCGTCCGGTGACTAGCTCTGATACCATTTGTAACAGCCCAAACTCACTGCTAGTATATATTGTCCGCTTTGACCCGTTACGTATCATCGTTAGCCTCACGATTTTAAAACGTGTCTACTAGGAAAAAGTTTCTACACTCTTATAAAAATGTTTTGTTCCCTTTCTCCTTTTTTATGTACATTTTTCGTAGTGCTACTCAGAAGATAGATACCAACCTTCTCCTTTTTACCCCAATCGACGCTCCAATTCCTGTTCAGATCAACACCTCTACCTGCCATGGAACACAAACTCAGGCATTAGATCCTGTATGACCATATAATGGAGTAAACCAGCTGCATTACCATTTCTTCTTTCACATAGATCCCCGTCCTCGACGAGCCTGCGCCCGTTTAAGTTTTCCATTGGCACCACCTGACAACATACATAAGCAAGCACATCATTTATGCATACACAAAACTGTGATTCAAGTTAGAAGCACCCATATCAGCTAGAGCATAGATTTCTTCCATAAAGGGACCATACATTAATTATCAATCGATTTGTCACGACCCACATCGAAGAACTTGATAAATATAGAGGTGATCAATGTTCAAGCTCAAGCATGAACACAAGTACCAAGTATTAAGAGCAGAAAAATGTGGGTATTAACTACAATGCAGGCTTAACTGCATGGACTTCATTGCTACTTAAAAAGAAAGCCAGAGGTTAGCTGGAAGAGAAGGCATCCTGTGTGATTATCTGTAACTTTCCTAAAATTATAGAACCAAAAACTTTACACGCGGTTCATTTATCCCACTTATCAATGTAAAAAGTTGTGAGATCTCACGTCGGTTGGGAGGAGAACGAAACATTTTTTATAAGAGTGTGGGAACCTCTCCCTAGCAGATCACGTTTTAAAAACATCGAGGGAAAATTCAAAAGAAAAAGTCCAAAAAGGACAATATCAACCAACGGTGAGCTTGAACTGTTATACATACCTTAATAACAAGCTTATCAAGCGTGTTGCTTAAGGAAGCTCGATCCATGTGGGGCAGCAACTGTTCTTCACTCAAGATTAAAAGAATTCTCAGTGCAAGTTCTGTTGTTATGAGCTCCCTGCCATGCTGTCCAAAACTCTGGAAGACAAGGAGGAATCATCTGTCAAGAACACCAGCAATTATCTGAGATGACATGTTCCCTTAATCGTTAAAGAGAGGAAAAGAAAAGAAAAAAGGATGGAAAAAACTGATCTCTCAAGTAAGCTTATTTAGTACACAGGCAGGAAACCTATCCATAGGGAATTGTAACAACTTAAGCACACCGTAATCAAATATTGTCCGTTTTGGCCCGTTACGTATTATCGTCAGCCTCACGATTTTAAAACGCGTTTGCTAGGGAGAGGTTTTCACACCCTTATAAGGAATGCTTTGTTCCTTTCTCCAACCGACGTGAGATCTTACAATCCACCCATTAGGGGCCAGCATCCTTGCTAGCACACTGTCGATGTCTAGCTCTGATACCATTTAGGGGCTAGCATCCTATCGCGAGCAAATATTGTCTGCTTTGGCTCATTACATATCACCGTCAGCCTCACGGTTTTAAAACGCGTCTTCTAAGGAGAGGTTTTTACACCCTTATAAGAAATGTTTTGTTCCCCTCTCCAACCGTAGTGAGATATTACAGTAATAAAAGCCTAGAAGATCAAATGAGTATGCAATTCAACACAAAACTTACAAGAAGTATCCGGAATTTTGACATGTCATTAACTTTATTCCTTCCATGGCAATATGTAACAACTGGAATTTCTGCAAAATAGCCCTTATTTCTAGCCTCCATTGTCTCTATCTGCTTAAATAATCAAAGTAAGTAACCAAGCCAAATCATCATGCCTGAATTAAGGATTACCAACAACAAGAACATACAGTCAGCTTATCAGGGTGTCGATGGACCAAAGCTTTTATCTCCTTCATCAAATCAACACTGCAAGATCCAATCACCCAACAAAATGGGAAAACATTCAGAAAGAATCAAGTACACCATTGTTAAATGAATAGATCACCATTACAAAAAGACCTTGAAAGTATTCAAACCATATGAATGCTAAGTTAATCTTCAACAAAGATAAATGGCCTAATATGAAACCCTACAAAAACTTGGATCGGCAGAGAACAGTATCAGACACGTTAAAATAGCCACTATATCAAAATTCCAGAACGAAAATTACAACAGAGAATCTGCATACAGTTTGTATGATGAAATGCCCAAATTCCAGAGAGAATAGCGACGATAACGATCATCGATGCAGTAAAATTACGAAAGAAGTGTAAGAATCCGAATCAGAAGAATTACAAACCTAGAATGATAAAGATCGCGGTCGATTGGAGTTAATCTATTGCCGTCAGGATCCTCAGCATTAACGAGAAGACAATTGAAACATGTGAAGAAGCAGAAGAAGAAGAAGATCCAGAACAGGGGAAAGAGAGAACAGAGAGAGCGACCCATACGGCAGAAACAGGGGACAGTAGATCATGGGTTTAGTTTGAGTTCAATAGGGGATCCATTATTGCAAAGCTTTAATGGAAATGATGAAATGAAGAAGGGAAAAGAAATGGAAATTTCAGCAGGTTGAACGGTGTGGATCATGCAGGCTTTTCAATTATCATCCCCACAGTTAACTGATAGGGCCATCTGCTGCTGCTGCACGATTGTTCAATCCGACATTGTTCATCAATATGCGAGAAAAAGAGTTTTTGTGGATTTCTCGTGCAATGTGCGTTTTGTCTTGAGAAAAGTGTTATAATTGTATTTTGGTCCCCCAACTTTCTCCTTATTTTGTTTGGTCCATCCTTTTTTTTAAAAAAAATAATATATTTACTTGACCGTTAAAATATCATTTTCATCTGTGTTTTACTTCCGTTAAATTAATAAAAATACCATTTTTCATTACATTCTATCTAAAATAAATAAATAAATAAAAATAACTTTTTAAAAAAAATTTAATAAGCGTCTAAAAAAATATGCGCTTAAACTTAAAAAAAAAAAGTTAAAAAATATACTTACATTTTAGTTTTAGAAGAAAACCGTTAATACTTTGTTTCAGAAGTGTTTTAAAAAAATCAAACACGACTCTCCACAATGGTATAATATTGTCTCATAAGCTCTCATGGCTTTGTTTGGGGCTTCCCCAAAAGGCCTCATACAAAAGGAGTTAGTATTTCTTACTTATAAACCCATGATCATTCCCTAAATTAGCCGATGTGAGACTTTCATCATCCAACCAGTACCACGTTTTAAAGCTACCCATGAGTTTTCTAAAATAGCGTTAAAATATTTGTAGATAATCTATAAGAAGTCATTACACGATTTTCATCTAACATTTTTATAAAGATAAATAGTGTTAATGTTACTTTTTAAATTTTATGGATATTTTTTAAATATAGTACCAATAGTAAATATATTAATTTGAAGTATTTTAAAATTTAATTTATATTTTGAGTTTAAAAACAAGTTTTTTTCCTCCTAATTTGGAAGTTTGTTCTTGAATTCAATTGGCTAGGTTTACATAACATAACGAAGAATAGTGATGAAAATCATCAACCAATTAAGACAAGGGAGGCAACAGAGCAAAGACGACCACGAACGATGGTGAGTTTAGCACATCGGTCAAAGATGTGAGGCACCCACAGTCAAAAGAGGAGGAAAAGAAAGAAGATGAAAAGAGAGTACAACCAAAACTTTGCAAAATTTCGAGTACATGCTTCTTTCATTCAACATTTGACACGTCATCAAATGATATATTATTTTACCAACGACTAAAGTATTATTTTATTTAAAAAAAGAAAAATCAAACTACCCGACTACAAGGGACTAAAATGTAATTTGAGAAACCTGGAGGACTAAATAATAAAATATAATATGCTTAAAAAGTTTCTCAAAACAACAATCAGTTCAATCAGTTATTGGCTATATAAATAGCGGCGGCAAGGGAGACGGTGGTGTCTCCCATACATTGATATTATAGAGATTAAATTGCAAAGCATGAAGTGAAAATAACCTGTCCCCTCCAATGGAGAAGTCCTGAATGAATCCTCCATATTTGGGCTCAACTTGAGAAGCCAATTCCCATTCAAATCCAGACCCACAATACACTGAAATGGCACTATTTGTAGAGCAAAACAGCTTCCCTCCATGCCATCCCAGCTTCGGCTTTCCACCAGGTCCAATGTGCACCATCTCCCCTGGCAAAGGGAACCGTTCCTTTTTCTCTTCTTCTTCAGAGCTCCACCAAGCTCTGTTCATTTGGGACTCACCTCCGAGCCTTCTCAAGTCGACAAAACCGAAAAAACCGTTCTCGTCTATTACACAGACACAGTTCATTTCCTCAATCCCCATTGCATCTACTATTGCTCCTTGATGTTTCAGTTTGTATGGATTGTGCTCCCAATGACCTGAATGCATTTCTTTCATTCTTGGATCAAATATGCTTATTCTATTGCTTTGTGGGCTACGTATTGCTGCTATTAAACACTTGTTACTTGGCAGCCATTGAAGCTTGAAGGTGTTGTTAAGCTCACTATTATATCCACCTTCTAAGAAATCAATCTGCTGCCCTGTTATTGTGTCCCAAACTCCGATGCCATCCACCTTTGTGAATAAGTCATGTTTACAGCAACAAAATATTGTATCGTTTGAGTTGTTGATTGCTAGATTTCCGGGTGTTGTTCTTGAAAATTGATTGTCACCTTCATGAGATCTATAAGAAGAAGATGAAGTTTGAGTGAGCTTAAATTTATGTTGAAGTTTAGCAGTTTGTGGATTGAAGAGACCAATTCGACCGCCACCATCACCACCAGTGTTTGGGTTTGAGTGCTTCCGACCACTGATTAAGATGCTTGTTGAATCATACCACTCCATGTCCACAATCTTCATATAATCCAGATTTGCAATTGAGAGTTCTTGGAGCATCCAATCGTAGACATGGAAAACTCTGCCATTGGCAATTGAGCAACTACCATTGGCACTTGCTCTAATTAATGAATGATCTTGCAACAAAGTTCGACCAGTTATGGAGGATGCAAGTTTGAGATTTTCACCGTCTAACTTGATGCTTCTGGCAGAGCGAACCCGGTCTAGAAGTCCATAGTAATGAGCTTCTCTAAAGAGAAACGTGTCAGGAATGGTTGGAGGAACAAGAAGCTCACCAGTTCGAAGAAGATGAAGAAGGACTTGGAAGCAAGCAGGGTCTCTATCAATGAAATGTTCTCCAAATTCCTCATATTGTGCTGTCCAGGCACCATCCAACATAGCTTTTAATAACGAATTTTCACTGGCATTCGAAAGGGTTGTCGCCGTTGTTTCGAATATCTTGCCTCCGACATTGAATCTCACCTTTCGTTTCTGAGTTACCATGGTAGTTCAATCTTAGCAGACAAAAAATATGGTGATGGCAAGGTTCTATCGTTAGTATTTAACATTCAGTTTTCTTAGTTTGAAAGAAAGCAAATGACAACAATATGAATCTGATAGGGTTTGGAGAATTTTTCTTTTGCTTTTTGAGTGTCCTCTTAGTTAATGGTAAGCTTCTCTAAGTATTTAGCACCTAATTTTCTTAGTATGAAAGAAAACAAATGAGAAGGATGCATACCTTTTTCTTTTGCTTTTAGAGTGTCCCTCCCTTTATTTGAGAACAATACCTTCTTTACCCAGTGGAGATAATAAAGTGAGCAATTAAATGAACTTTACCTTTACCTTTCTTACCCATCATCACTGTATGAGCTTTGTTGCAAATGATTTCCAATGCTCCGACCAGAAATAAGCGAAAAAAAGGCTTTCCTTTCTTCTGCCTTAAGATGTTGGCACTCAGCAAGATGGGCTCACGGTGTGGTGGGATGAAGCCTGCTAGACAAAGACAATGGCTTGGCAGCTATGTCAGCATTATTCAAGAATGATTTGAAGCCTGAATAAGATTAGTATAAAATGTTATGGTTATTAAATTGACATAATGAGTTGTGATTTTAGAATTTTTGCATAGAACTTTACAATTTGAATCGTTAAACACGACGAGCAGACTGGTACCTTGATTAATATAATGGAACAAATTACTCGACTCTATAAAATTTCATCGATCTTCTCCCTTCACCTCTAGTATTTCCACTAACTTGAAAAAACTTGGAAGTGAAGTGACTTGTAAAGCAAGGACTATCATCAAATTAATTTATCATCTGGGCAAATGGTCATAGGTGCTCAATTTGCAGATCTTAAATGCTTACAATGTTTCCAATTCGGGCTTCCAAGCATATTCATGACACTCATTGCAGAGATAGAAGGCATAATAAAACCATATTGAGGGTCAAATAGCACAAATAAAACATAGATGTTGGCAGATAAAAAAGCAAGTGTCAAGTGTCTCTTCATTTTTTCTCCACATTGCTCTCCAATTCTCTCTTAAGCTGCAACGAGAAGTCATCATTGACATCATCATCATCCCAGTCGTCTTCCCACTGCTGAGTAATTTCTTTACCTTCCTTGACTTCCCATTCTGTAATTGATTTTTGCCCATGAGAACAGAAGGAAAGGTTATAAAAGTATTAGACGGCTTAAAGATGTTACGTCAAGAACAAGAAGCATATTAATAAGTTTTACACCCGAATCTGAAGAAGATGAAGTTGCAAAAGAACTTTGAAATGGAAGAAGAGATCTCTGAATTCTCTGCTAGGTAGCAATATCTTGCTAGGACTAGGACTATGGCATATGTGATATATATTACGAAGTTCCAACTTCTATATGAGCAAACAAGAACCACCATGAATTGCCTTATTAGTACATGTGAAAAAGTAAAAAGACCAAGGTGAATGTGTTCAAAACCTCATGGTCGTTACCTGCTTAGAACAAAATCTCATGAGTTGTTTTGGCAGACACGTCATAACCTTAGAGTCAAGTAGTCGACCTATGAGACTAGTTAAGTGTGAGATCCCACATTACTTATCCATTTAAACTACTGCAAAACATTCTTATCACTCTAACATTTTTCTTTTTAAAGAATATACAAGACTTTAAAGGATATGCATGGCTTTCAAAACATAGTCGCAGTCAACAAAATCGTCAAGAAACCATATGATTTGAATGTTAGACTTAAGATTCTTTATCCTCTTCCTAACAATCAAGTAGTAAGAGTAACCCACTTCTGAAAAATAAAGAAAAGCCTCGCTTTTTTTTATAAGTGATTATATTAACTTAAAACAAACATCTAAATGACTTTAATATCTTAATTCTTAAAGAGAAAAAGTCCCATCCAATATAGTATACTTACGGGGCATCTCTTTTAAGATCCATGCATTATTCCAACTCTTCTTTATCCTAATCAACACTTGTTTTCATTGATTGTTACCATTGCAATTGAGTTTACAAGCATTCTGGCTCATTTTTTTCAAACACTGGATACCAAGAATTTACTAGGAAATAATGAGTGAACAGGACAACAACAATAGGGCATCCAAATGAAGAATGCTAGCAGTAAGGATTGAATCAGTAACAGGCTTATCCAGACCGTTGCATAACATTCACGTTATAATGGCTGAAACAAAGGATAAATTGCACAACAAGCACTGATAAATAAAAAATGACTGCAAATTGAAACCAAAAAATTACAAGTCATACCTTCATTAATCTCAAACTCTTCAAACTCATCATCATCCTCAAAGAGGTCAACTTTCACTTCCTCAGTAGCTGCTTTCATTTCAGTTGCCATCACAAAGCTCACACAGGTCTACAAATCCTTAGTTTTCTGATAGATCAGCAACAAATTTGAAATACATTAACAAGTGAAAAATACACAATTGAAGGCATGATTTTCTGTTGAAGCTTTTTGTAGACGCAAATCACTGCACCCAATTTCTTGGGTTCATTTTTTAACCAACTTGAACTATCAACTAATCCAATCCCAGAAGGATTGAGTTGGATTGATCAGATAACATCATTTTACACTGTTTTTTCAATTTCGCCCTACATATTAGAGATTTTTTAGCACACATAGTCATGAATTCGAACTTCGGATATGAAGCTCACTGAAACTTTAATATAATCTACAGTTATACCAAAAGCCTCTATAATCTGCAGGTATACTCATAAAACCTATGGAATATAAAAATGGAATAACATATTGAGTGCTGATCGCAAATACGAAACTAAAACAGAGAAGAAAGCAAACGCGGGAGAGAGAACTAGAGGCAAAAGGAATGATGAACAAAGACATAAGTTCGTTCTCTTTTGTATTCCCCTAATTTTGCAGAGAAACACAGAAGAAATCATAAAGCAAACCATCAAATACATCGCAATTCACAAAACAAATTGTAAGCCATAGTCGAGATTGAGAAATGTTGCATAAATTGTAGGCAGATCAAATTGGAGAGAGAAAAAGGAGATTAGAACCTTGAGAGAGAGTTGTGAGAAAGATCAGAAGCTTCAAATGGCCGTCGAGCAGGGACGATCGAGGGAGTCTCTTGTTGCTTGATTTCTAGTGTGGAAAAAAAAAAATGAATCGAGATATCTTAAGGGACAAGTCGTCAAGCCTTTGTCCTTTTACTTTAGATATTCAATTTCACTTTGTTCTTTTATCTTTAATATTACCAAAGCCATTTATTTTAATTTTCATCCAACCAAATTTCTTAATTTTTGTGAGCATTGAACCCGAGAAGGAGAGAGTCGTAATGATCTTTGAGAAGATTACCAAGTGCTGATAGGAGTATCAACTCGGACACTAAAATGGAAGCGTGTTGAATCAAGAGTAGATAGTCAGCATCTTTCAGCAGTCTGAGAATAGAACAAGAAAGGCCGAGGTGCTTTCCTGGCAAATCTCTCTCATTTGTTTCGTCTTTCAAGTATAATCAAATTCTCGGGACAAGGAGGGCGGAAAGAAGGGATCGAGGCATTTGATTAGGACATCGCACTATGATCTGAAAACTTTGTCGCATCTCTTTGAATCAACAGGATTGATTGGTTGGCTGGAAGTTAACGGATCTACTCGATGTCACGGTTGTACTTCTTCAACTGTGATCTGTCATGATCTTGACACGCTAACGACCATCCTTGAGGGCTTTGTCACATCTCTTCAGATCATTGGTTGGTTGGCTGGAAGCTAATAGATCCACTCGATGTCACGGTTGTACTTTTTCAATCATGCGGCGCATGACCTTGACATGCTAATGACCAACCTTGAGGGAAACTCAAGCCCATATATATTCGTCCAACTTTGCGACTTCATCGGGCCTTAGGAGAGGTTTGTCTTCGTCAATCCAACATCACTTGTGCAGAATCCAAGCTTGTTCAGCCACACACGCTGCCCTGCGCATGAATGTTCAATTGTTTGCGACACAACTAACTTGCCTTACCCCTATTAGGGGTCAAGGTCTTTCAACGCAACACCACATCTCATCGTTTCATCTTGGTTCTCAATTAACATGGTCTCTATATCTTAATGTCATCCAAGTCACAGAGTGTCTTCGACCATCACAACTCACTTGGTCATGCCATCGTAAACGTGCCCACGCGTCGAGACATCCCAAACATTCATTCATCTGAATTCTATCGAGGCATTGGGCCTCCCGTACTCATGACATGACATGCATGTAGTGATAACTTTATTTTAATTGAAAAAATAGGATCGTCACATCATATCAACTCAATTGTATTTATAAAACCAATATGAAATGCAAAAGTTTGTGGATATCCGAACCAATCAAGCTAAACCGGTACCGATCAAACGTAATTTATAAACATTTTTTAATGTATAATTATTTAATTATTATTTTTATATGAGGCCACATTAAACGTATAATTATCCTTTAATAATTATTTAATTATTAAATTATAATTATACGTTTAATTAGCAAAATAGCTTTTAATTTGCATTCTTATAAAATATAAACGGCAATTTATTGAAAAATAAATAGACACGCGGCTGACAGGTCAGCCTCCCATATAGGGTTCAAAAAATATGACCGTTGAGGACGCTCCCTCTCATTTAAATCTCAATTCGAACCCATCGCCAAGAACCTGCAACAAGACAAAATTCATTCACAGATTTCAACAAGAAAATAGCGTTTCTCCGTCGGTTTCCAACTATCAATGTCTAAGATGAGATCTGATCGCAGGCCGCCGCTCGCCAGATCACCCTTGCGGCTCAGATCTCGTCGGGTTCCTCAATCGAACTCAACCTCGATGCAAACGCCGCCCGGTAAATTGGAAGCAACCGAGTGATATTCCGTTAATTACGATGAAAATCGTTCTTGTTTTTGTTTAATTTTTCGATTCTTGAACTGATCGACTATGTTTTTGTCTGTGTACAGGTTCTTTGACGAAATCGCTGAAAATGATCCGTCCTTCGGATCTGCTGGAAACGGAGCTCCGACCTGAGTATCGGACAATTTCTTGCGAGTTACGAGCTCTGGCAAGCATGGTTAAGATGGAATTAGGATGTGAAGAATCTGAGAAAGGCGGAGTTGGCGATCAATTGAGCGTGAATTCGAGTTCTCTGTTCGAGCGGGGGAGATTTTACGAGGAGTACTCTGCGAGGAGGAACGAGAGGCTCAAGAGAAAGAAAGCCGACTCCGCGTCCGAAATCAAGACTCCATACACTCTCGGCGTGACGGTTGAATCTTCGAAGCGGCACAGTTCGAAGAAGCTTGCAAATAGCTTGAGGAAATCGGTTGGTGCGGCGTTTTCTGTGGAGCAGAGCGCGGCGGCTCCTAGGTATTTGCTGCGAAGCATGACGAAGGAGAACAAGAAGCCTCCATTGCCAGTGAATCTTGAGAAATCCGTGATTGCTGCAGGAGAAAGGAAAATCAGGACTCGAAAAATCCGAAGAATCTGAAGAATTAGGGATCAGATCTTGACGTCAGGTGGAATTCTTGATTTCCGCCTCTCGTTATCTTTGATTTCTATTCTCTACTTTGATTCAGATGGTTAAAGAAACTGGATTAGTTTTTCATAATGTGTTCTGGATTTGGATTTGGATTTGGATTTGGATTTGCATGTAGGATTGTGTAGTGTAGCTAGAATTTTCCAATTCGGAAATATCTGACCAAGCTTCTCTCTTCAGCATACTTGGCTGCTATGGTAGGAAACGAGAGGCATAGAGAGCACATTATAGCTGTTAGGGCTCTTTTATGAGTTTATGCAAATAAAAGTTCTTGTTTATCTCGTCTTTTCTTCTTTCTTCATTTTTTACATGTTAGAGAGCATTACAAAGCAACTATACACGTTAGTAAACTAGGCAGATATTGTTGGCTAATTCCCCATTCTATACACCTTTCTAATCTAAACTAAATCAGGTATGTCTTTTTATCTCGCTTTAGGTTTTCTATTTCCTGCTTCAGCTTTTTATTTCGGGCTTATTTTCATTGAGCTTTCCTGTTTTCTATTTCCCGCTTACCCTATTCTATTTCTATCTCGGGCTTAGCCTCTTTGGGCTTTCTATTTCTATCTCGGTCTTACCCTCTTTGAACTTTTCATTTCTATTTGGGCAAGCTTATCCTCTTTGGGTTTTCTATTTTGAGCTTCAGTTTTCTATTTCGTGCTTACCTTCATTGAGCTTTGTTTACCCCCTTTTTGAAAATACGTAGAGGTTTTGCTAAGTAGAGGGTTTCACACCCCTCGTCATCTTGGCACAGGTACACTGTTCGGTGTCCACTCATTTTGGGGTTCAACATTCTAATACCATTTGTAACAAGCTCATATCTCATATCAATTTAGGATTGATAATCATAATTTATATACAAACATAAAAATAAAAAAACATAGCTCGCTACCACTCTCCAAACTCTCCAAAGGTGTTGGAGTTGAACTCATAAACAAAGTGCAATTGATGTGACCAATGCTTTGGCACATCAAAAGAGAATCGAGCTACAAAATACACTTCAAGAGTGAAATTTTGGACATTATTCAAGTTTTGTTGCATACATTGAGTTTTATATATTTACATTAGAAACTCAATGTATTGTATTCAAACAACTTTTCTACTCATCTGATGTCCTTGCTGCTCTACTTGGTCCTCTCTCACTGGAAAATCTTCTATCTTGCTCGTGTGAACATCATCATCGCCTTTGATCTTTGAAATCTCACCTTCCTTGTCCCGAGCTAAGACGACATCGGTGGCATGTGCCTCGCTCGCACCAACTGAAACACCATTTTCTTTTTCTTTGCTTTCATCAACCCTGTAGTAAACCTTAAGAGGGAAACATGAAAATGTCATTTGAATGCCACTAGGGGAAATGGAAGGATATCATGAAACTAAAAAGCAATTCAAACAGCCATGTTTATCATACCACACAAGTTTGAGCTGGTGAAAGAACTTTGAAGGAATTGGGTCGGTTGTTAAAATTTGTTTCGGGTACCCCGGGGATTCCTTCTGGGGATGTAAAATGGTCGATGTCGTGGCCTACCTGTTACCGATGCATGAAGCTAAAGATCATCAGAGAAGCAACATGTAGTTTTCTTATGCATCCCAAAGAAGGAAATGAATAAAAACTTAAGAAATGATGAACCGCCAAGGATTTCTTACTCTTCCACGTCCGCCAAACTCCGAAGCGTCGCTATCAAGTGCGACTCTGTACTTTCCAGGTATGTCACACCCGACTTTGTATCTGTATGCATTTGAAGGATTATATCATAATTGTAAGGGAATGGATTGGCTATACCATGATTATGAAATCCATGTGCTCTACGTCACAAAACCACATACCCGTCGTAAGTGTTTATGGGATGAAAGTTGAACACGAACACTAGGTCTCCACGTTCAAAGACGATCACCTACATCACGATGGTCAGTTAAACTAGATGGTCTTAAAGTTTGCAAAGCAGTGTTTATGATCAACTCAAGGCTTCATGTCTCAAGATATTAATATCCAAATGGAATCACCAGCTAATATAGCTTTCATTCCTTTCAAATACTAATATCGCATACTATTCATTTTATCATGAATTGAACCCGTCATGGATCCTAACTAGATAATCCAATAATACAAATTACTGTGGAAAAGATCCAGTTCAGGTTTGAGGGAGTAAGCACCTTTTCTTCTTCACTTGTACAGCTCACAATCTGCTTACTTGATGCAAGGAATGAAAACTTATCATCAAGCGAGTTCATTGCTCTGTCAAAAGCATTCAAAAACTGTACCAGGGATATGGGATGGAAATGTTAGAGCTTATCCACCTTAAGTTAACAAAATCAGAAATCATTTACAAAATCGAAAAAATCCATAGTTTGCTACAAAGTCGATGCCCTTGAATTCGAAAAAGAAAAAGCTGCAACTATTTTTCATTGAGATAGGTCTAAAGATCTTGAACGGTCAACTGAAAATGTCGTTGATTGATAAAAAACTTTAACATGAACCTAATAATTAACATAGCAATATACGAATGAAACGTCCGACCTTGTATCTCAGGTGATCTGTGTCAGGAAGATTCCATTGTCGCCTACACTTGTCATAACTCCACCCGTTGCCTTCTCGTGGGAAGTCGATCCACTCGGGATGCCCGAACTATAAGAATCAATAGTAAAAATTCGCATAAAATGATGTCAGTTAAGAATGTGAAATTAAACCATTCGAAACCACAGGGCACATATCCAAAACTAGAATCATAACTAAAAAAACATAAAGGGTAAAATTCCATATCTAGTTTCTAGAATTTAAAAGGTTTCAATTATTTCTTAAACTTTCTATTTAATTCTAAACAATCTGTCATTAACACTATTGGTTCAATACTGATGTGGCACGCTAACATTATGAATTTATGATAATCATGCACAACATGTGCCAAGTTAGCTCCACAAATAGCTCATCCCCTAAACTTGAACCCCTGTTCGTTAAGTTGCCTACCTATATATAATCCACCATGTACACTCTTTGATGATAAACGAATAGAGTTAACAACGATGACCTATTCATACAGGATCCAAATTTAAAAAACGAACTTCCAACAAAAACTAAAATGTAAGCTAATATCAGTTTATTAGAGATAAAACTTCATTTATTAACAACAGGCCAAGAGATTGAGCAGAAGAATTAGAAACTAAACTCACCTCGTTTCCCATGAAATTAAGATAACCTTCCCCTCCTAAAGCCATGGTTATAAAATGTATCATCTGCCACACAAAAAATGGCAGCTTGGTGTCAGAATAGGATGACCGATATGCTAATAATCATTGATGGGAAAATAACAAGGTCGAAGAAGGTAGGAAATCATGGATTATGCTCGAACATAGACACTAAAGCCGCCTAGTAGATGAATCTATGAACTAGGAAGAAACTAAACCTTGTGCAGCGCAATCCCTCTTTCAACAACAGGAGATGCCTCTGTCAAACAAGACATGCCAGAATACATTTCTTTATCCATTAGCAGAAATGCAATGGTCTTGTCTCCAACAATCGACTGTCCAGTATATGCAAAGAAAAATTTGCCACAACTATATTAGTTTTGACAAAAATCACGAGAAATAACAGCACAAACATTAATTCTGTAATTACTCTTGCTGTTATCAAACTATAGAAATAGAATAAGAATCTCACCTGATCATGACTCTCAGCGTAAGATATGCACTTCTCTGAATATCTTCTATTTGTCAAGTTCCAACTTATCTCGCCCATGGACCATTCCTCATCATTTTTGTTCTTCACGTAATCAATCCATTTGTCAGGAATTGCCATTTGAAGACGGTAGTCAAAACCAATACCCCCTTCAGAAACAGGTATTCCAAGACCAGGCATGCCCGAAACATCTTCAGCAATTACAGTGGCATTTGGCAAAATGCTATGAATCAGATTATTTGCTAGCATCAAATACACAACAGCATCAACATCTGTTGCTTCACTAAAATACTCGTTATAATTTCCAGTGAAAGCGGTGTTGATTCCATGGTGATGATACAGCATCGAAGTTACTCCATCAAATCGAAAGCCATCAAATTGGTACTCCTCCAACCACCATCTTATGTTTGATAAAAGGAAACGCAGAACTTCCCAATTGGCATAATTGAAGAGTCTACTATCCCACAGCTTATGATAACCACGATCTCCAGTGTGGAAATAAGAATCTTGGGTACTTTGACCAACATCAAAGCCATTAAGGCCATCAGTGACATTGTTACTTGCATGGCTATGAACAATATCCATCAACACCCGTAAACCCAATCCATGAGCCTTGTCAATAAGGTATTTTAGATCCTCTGGAGTTCCAGATCTACTGCTCATAGCAAAAAAGTTCGTAACGTGATACCCAAATGATGCATAATATGAATGTTCCATAATAGCCATCAACTGGACGGTATTGTAGTTATTTTCTTTAATACGAGGTAAAACAAAATCCGCAAATTCTCTGTATGAATTAACTCGTGGTTCTGAGCTACTCATTCCAACATGAGCTTCATATATACGTGGGGCCTTGGGCTTTGCTGGACGTGGATGCTTAAATTCATATCTGCATTAAGGTCAGAACAGTGACACATTAACTTACCAATTATCCTTGCATTCAAAGACTAAAAGATAGTATTCGGAATCTCATATAGGATGGTGGACCTCAGTAAGAAACATTGGACGGCCAATACCTTTCTAAAGGAGGGGGTTCCCAATACACGCCATCGTATGGTGCCCCGAATCTTGTAGGATCCACAGTGGCATATTTAATCCAAGCAGGTATGCGATCAATCCAAGCTCCATTCCCATGCTTAAAACGGAACTTAACTCTTGAATTGTGAGCAATGGCAGGTTTGCCATCAATATCAGGAATATTTATACTCCAAATGCCAAATTCGTTCTTTTCCATTCGGTGGTTGGAACCATCCCATCCGTTAAAGTCCCCGATAATTTGTGCTTCCCTGAAAATAATAGAACATGGCATTTCCATTTGGAACAACAAAAGTAAAGACATTTGTATGATCAGAGAAATAAAATAATAAGAACAAAATCTTACTGAGCAACTGGAGCCCATTCACGATACACAATGCCATCTCCTTCTCTATTAAAGCCAAATTTTAGGTATCCTAAAGCATAATGGAAGAAGTAAGCTAATTGAAGAAAAACATGAGTAAATTATAATTCATTCAAGTCAAGAGAATGATTGACACTAAGACTGATGCCTCCTGAATGAACACAAGCATGTTCTACAGAAAAATATGGATTATAACACAAAAGACTTGCAAAGGAAGTAGTTTCCATGATAATCAATCAATGACTTAAAAGCAGCAAGCAATCTTCAATGTGATTTAAGAAAGCACCTCGTGCAAATTCATCAAGGCCTCCTTCATGCTTATCAAAAAGGTTTAGAACATCCGAATATCTCCCTATTCTGTATTTGAAATGATCTTTGAAGGGTTCCAAGCTTGGATCATGGCGCAAGATGCCAATATCCTTCATGTTCTCGTCAGCAGATGACGCTGTTGATGTATCATCTGTCATGACAGAAGAGATAATAGCAGGCCTGTAAACCTAACAAAGGAAAGCCGCCACTGTCATAACATATTACCAAAATAAGCTTTAATTGTGCCTCATAATGCTTTCCATATATTCAGAATCAACAAAAAAAATCAAAACCTAAACACAAATCCATCCAAATAATGTCTCCAAATCAGATCATAGCAGATACCAAGAAAATTTCTTGGACAAACATAGCCACAAAGGTTAGAAACCTCATACATGGATTGGAAATCTTTGCATTCAGTTAAACAAACGAAAAGTAAATGCATTAATTGCCTTTTGGATTCGAAATTCGAACAAAAGAGAATGTCCTTCCCTTGTATGCACTGCAAGTAACACTAATCACCATATAATGATAGTAGAGAAATTACCCTTTTGTAAGTCGAGAATGGATCCATAAATGGGTGCATCTGCCGGTGATGCGACATTCTAGACCCAAAATTCAGCACAATTTGTTGTCTCAATGAAGAACATTGATTCCTCGAGTCCTGTCAATACCAAGAGAAAACTCCTCAAACAAGTAGAAAAACAGGGCACAACAAAGAGGGGAAAAGGATTCTCGGAAACCTATAAAGCAATGAGAAGTACCGAAGTGAAATTCTTCTTTGCCGAAAGTGACAAAGAAGCAAGAACAGTCGAAGGAAGAACACAAGGAGAAGCCAGCATGTTCTGCAACTTAGAATCGCTTCAACATTCCGATTCTGAGAAATCTTCGATACTCTGTATTTATTTCACTTCAATTGAAATGTCTCACTCGATCAAAACGTTCTCCATCGTTAATTCCTTACGCTGATACAACTGTCTTCTTCGATCGTCACTTATTGTTTCCATTTGAGTGATTTGTCCGAAAAAGATGATGAACAAAACATCATCTTCCACGTGACAACGTAACAAACCGTGAAATTTTGATAAATCTGGTAGCGAATCGATAGCTCACAGTGATATAATTCTCGATCACGAACAGGAAATTGTTGGACGGTGGAGAAGGGATCTCGCAAGTTTATCATTTGTTTTTATATAATACCTTACACCTTCGAAAAAAATTTACAAAATTAAAAATATATTCTTTATATAGAAATTAAAAATATATTCAACTTTCAACTATTTAAAATATACCTTTTTTTTTAAAACAAATTAAAAGATATTCCTTAAACTTTTAAAATATTATTTCTTTTTAATTAAAAAAAATTCAAAAATACATATGTCATCACGAACCAAACCGTTACTACCATATTTAAAAAATACTCATATATTTTCAAAAGTACCATTAATATTTTTAATTTATTTTTTAAAAAAATCACATTTAATATTCGAACAAAAATTGTTTATGTACACCAATAGATCGTCTTTAAAGGTCTATGGTATTAATGCTATTTTTAAAAGTTCAAATATATTTTTGAAATGTGGTACTAACCGGTTCTGTCGTTAAATGTATTTTTTTTTAAGAATATTAATGAATTTTTTAAACTTTTAAAAAATAGTTTAATATTTTTAACATTTTTGGTAAATATTTAAAGTTGGGGAGTATTTTTTAAATAAATTATATTAATTTAGCGTTAATTTTACCTTTAAACTTTAAACTCGTTTATTAAAATGAAACAACAGTAAATTAGTTCATGTTCGAGTAATACAATATGACAGAGTAGTAGGTTAAACAAAATGTCGGAAAGATACTCATAAACTTTTTAAAGTTTTAATAATATTCTTGAACTTTTAAAAAGTCTAAAAATTATTCTTAAAGTAAAAAAAAATTCAAAAATATCTTTATAGATAAAAAAAAAATATTCTTTTAATTTTCAAAAGTGTTAAAAAAATAATATTAATGTCCAAAGTTTCATAAATACTCTTAAAACATTTTTAAAAAATAAAAATAAAAAATACTGTTAGCACCAAGTTTCAAAAATACCTATGAACTTTTTTTTCAGTTTTTCGATGGATTTTCTTCGACGCTCTCATACATTTTGGCCTTGTTCGAGACGGAGTCGTAGCAAAGAAAATCTCGAGAAATGTGAAAACATCTTGTAGCTTGGCCTTGTTCACGTCATCGCAAGGAAGATCATTAAGAATTTAGAAGAACTTCTACATTTTCGGAATACATCAAATAGGTTTATAAGCTGCGGTTTATATAAAGGTAGAGTTATTACTCTCATATGAATGCTTCTTTTAATTCTTAATAAAATAAAATCGATTTTCAATGCTTTCCCTCTAAGAATGAAGAGTTCACTCTCTCAAAATTACACCTTTATATTGTTTAATCAACTTTAGAGTATATGACAATTATACCCTTATTATCATTTCAACCGTTTTCACGTTTGATTTTCGAACTTTAGAGTACGTGACAATTATATCTTTATTATCTCGGTATGATAAAATTTTACCCTTATTATCATCATTTCAACCATTTTAAATTTTAACCTTTGAATGTTAGGGTATTTGACAATTATACCCTTGTTATCGTTTCAACCATTTTAATCTTTACCCTTTGAGCCTTAAGGTATTTAACAATCATACCCTTGTTATCCTTTCAACCATTGAATCTTAAGGTATGGTTTAGGCCATTTTAACCTTTAACCTTTGAACCTTAAGATATTGACAATTATACCCTTATTATCGTTTTAACCATTTTAGCCTTTAACCTTTGAACCTTGAGATATTTGACAATTATACCCTTATTATCGTTTCAATCATTTTAACCTTTAAATGTTAAGGTATTTGACAATTATACCTTTATTATCGTTCCAACCATTTTAACCTTTGAACCTTAAGGTATTTGACAATTATACCCTTGTTACTGTTTCAACCATTTTAACCTTTGAACCTTAAGGTATTTGACAATTATACCCTTTATTGTTTCAACCATTTTAACCTTTAACCTTTGAAATTTAGGGTACGAGAAAATTATATTCTTATTATCATTTCAACTATTTCAACCTTAACCTTTGAACTTTAAGGTACGTGACAATTTACCCATACTATCGTTTTAATCATTTTAACCTCTAAACTTTAAGATTTGAGATGATTTACTCTTATTATAATCGTTTTAACCATTTTAACCTTTAAACTTTAGGACATTTGATAATTTACCTTTATTATAATCATTTCAACCACTTTAGAATATGTGACAATTATACCCTTGTTATAATTTCAACAATTTTAACATTTAACCTTTGAACTTTACGGCCTAAAATAATTATATCATTACTATCGTTTCAACCATTTTAACCTTTAAATTTCGAACTTTAAAGCATGTGGCAATTATGTCCCTATTATCGTTTCAACCATTTTAACCTAGAACCTTTGAACTTTAGAGCATTTGACAATTATACCCTTACATCCTTTCAACCACAACATAACTTTAGAATATTTGACAATTATACCCTTACATCCTTTCAACACACCACATGGAGGTTTAGGACAGTTTTAAAGTGAACTCAAAAAAGTAAAAATAATTTCAATTTCAATTTCAATTTCTGAAAAACCCGTCGATACGACGTCGTGTCGAAGAATCATGAGCCACTTTCTAGTCTTTCCTCGTTCTAGGGTGGGCCCACGACCGCTACTTTTAAATTAATTTTCAAAAAAAAAAAAAAAAAAAAATTGAAAATAGAAAACCCATCTTCTTTCGAGCCAAAGTTTTCCCTTTTGAACTCGCCTCTCCCTCTCCCTTTCCCTCTCTCGTCGGTTGCAGAAGCCGAACAAGCTTCCTTCTCAGGTACCATTTCTTTACTCGATTCCTTCTTTCTTTCCTTACAACGCATAATCTTCGATCCTTTGATGCTCCGACCTACCCCCTCCTCCGTTGCGTAGCAGAAGCTTTGCCGACTGATTTTCATTTCTGCTTGTAGATGCGTCCATGTAACTAGAATGAGTGTAGGATTCACTATTATAATCTTTGTAACTTTTTGGCTGTGGATGTGGATGATTTTGATTTCGTTTGATGTTGCTGCGCAATATTGTTTGGGATTGATTGACCTGTTGCATTTCTCTTGACTCATTTGGACCTGAACTGTTAATTTTCTTTATTATGTCCTACGTGTTACAGAAATGGTTCTGCCTAAGATCTGAGTTCTTACATTTTCTTTGGTGTTCTGTCTGTAAGACATGGTCAATTTAGCCAGATGAAACGTTTGTGGTTTAAATCCTATTTTCGACCGTAATCTTTCATGCTTATTTAGTTTTGGCACCTAATTTTTCAGACGTTCTCTCTTAGTTTGTCAGTGTTCAATTGTTCTTAAATTTTGCATCGAAAATTGTTTTTGTCCTTTATCATTTAACAAAGTTCTGGATCCGTTTTGAAATCTGGTGCTTGACCTACTATGTGGTGCAACCAATTTTTTATGTAGGCATTTACTAATGAAGTTAATGATCAAATGTTTATTTCTTTTTGTCTAGTTTTTATATTAAATATTTTATTGAAAGAAATTAGTAGCAAGCACCAGTAAGATTTTTTGTACAAGGCTGTAGAACTAAAGTAAAATGTTTGAATGTTTAAGAATCAAAATGGAATAAGCATGAAAATCTAAAGAAACAAAATTTAAACCAACATTCTTTTGTTTCATAATGTGCCATCGTGCAAGTTTGATATAAGTGTTATGCTAATATAGGTAAATGGATACTTGATGAACATTGTGTTGCATATTATTATGGTGTTAAACTTTGTGATTTAGCGAAATAGAGAGTTTGGTATTTTAAGGTAGTTGAAACTTGGAAGTAAGAGCTTGGAAAGGGGTTGTAAACATCATGGAAAATATATTATTCAGAAATTTGATGTATACAATTTCATCAATTTATTGTTTTGCTGTTTAAGATAGTTTTAACTTCAAGTTAGTATTTATCTGAAAAATAATTCTGTACCTCGATACCAGCTTAAGGAAATTGCTGATTGTCATGGAAAATATATAAACGCACTTCACTTATCGACTTCTTGATTTATGTACTTTGATTGTCTTGCGGTATCTGTGGTCTGATTTTCAAGCTTTGCAGTATAAGCCAGCTAGCATTCAACTTTAATGTGTGATTATCCTTTTACTTGATTGCTGGTGTGGTTGTGTGAAATAACGATATGGCTCTCTTGGGTGGAGATTTTGATTTGCTCTCTTGGCTTTCTAGGAGATAATTTGAAATCGTTATTTGGTTGAAGCTCTTCAAGTGTCCTAAATGATTGATAGCAAGTTGAACAACGGTGGGATGGGTAGCTGCGAAACTCATTTGTCTATGTATAAGAGCAAGCAGTCTCCAATTGCCATGAAAAAGGTTGCTTTAAGAGATGTGCAGAATGATAATAGGAGTGTCGTGTATAACTATCCTGAAACTTCCTGTTCTTTGGGCGGCAAACTTGTGAATGGGAGTAAGGTTTCAGGAAGTAAGAGATCCAACCCGACATGCTCACCGAACTCTGCAATCCATCAATCCTTCAAGGGGATTGGGGTAAATGAGCATATCATTTATGCCAACGGAGAAGTTGATGTGAAGCCTGGCAAAAAAAGAGCATTGGGAGGTAGCACATCTTGTGCACCCACATTTTCTTCTCTTGCAGCCTCTCCGGTGGCGTTTTCACCTGTTAGGTCTTCACTTCCCATTTTCACAGAAAAGCCTGGTAATTTTCTAGCAGTTACTGGATCCAATCTTCTGGGAATCCCTCCTGGTTTGGAGATTCTTCACTCTGTTGATTCAAATGGGATTACTGATGAGCAGAGAACAGAGCGTTTATTCAATCTTCAGAATCTCCTAAAACATTGTGACGAGTCGGATCAAAAAGGCTTTATTGAGTGTAAGTTGTGTTGAATAATCACTGTAGCTCATTTTCAGTATTTAAGTTTGACACTGC